GAGGGTTTGGAAGGGTTGGCCAGTAGAGGGTGAGAAGAATCTATCAATACTAATATTGTCATGACTGATCACGTGAAGGTATTCTTAATATTCACCCTAAATGGAATGGGAAAAAAAAATACACAAATCTCTCCATAAAACTTACTTAGGGGATGATAAATAGGTTTTGTGCTCCCTGTAAGATAGTCCTTGATTTTATTGGCTGTATGGAATGGATTTTGCCACTTAGCATCATATAAAATACCACACCCAAATGTGGCCATTGCTGTTGGAAAAAAAAAGAGAACACTCATTACAACACATAAATGTTACACAAAAAAAAAAAAAAAAAAAAAAAAAAAAAAAATATATATTATATATATATATATTATATTATATATATAATATATATATATATATATATATATATATATATATATATAATATGATTTACAAGACAATACTACCAATTTTTACAAAGAAACAATCTTCTCTTCATTACAAAACTTGAGTTTACCATATTCATATATTAAGAAAATGAATGTAGCATAATGTCCTATACGTGCTTACTAATCACTGCACCATTTCTTCTCTGCTGCTTCATGAACAATTATAGCTCCACATAATGGATCATGATTTTGGTATTACTGAATTCCTCTCACTATCTTGTTTCCAAAAATTTTTAAATTATTGCACGGAAACCCACAAACCCCACATTCTTTGCCCCAATAGCAGAGGAGGGCATGAAAGGTACCAGGGAAATTCTGGGGTAAAATGTAAATAATATACACTGAATCTGTCACTATGTTGTCTAATGCAGGGGGGTGTGCTGTGCAATTGGGGACGAATTCCCCCCATTGGAGGCTTGCATGGGGTACAGCCCCCTGCATTAGACAATATACTAACTGATTCTGTGCATATCTACATTTTACCCTGCAATTTCCCTGATACCGTCCATACCTTCCCCTACTATCAGGGCCAAGAGTTGGGGGGTTCCACGGAATAAGACCTATACATTTGCACTGTAGACGGTGAGAAGAATCCAACGATACTGAAATCGTCGCGACCCTTTATGCGCTACTCTTAATGCTACTCTTTGCCAATACCGTATTATTGTTTACAGAAGTATGAGCATGTAATATCTTACGCAAGTCGGCAAAGGCCTTACAATTAATATGGTACTTCTCAATCTTCAAAGATTACGTACCGTTGAAATGTCAGAGTGCGGGCGTTCGCACAAACACCTATTAACTATATATGGCCATATCTACGCCATGTGTTCTGTACAACTCTTTGAACTATTCAAGTATGGAAATTTACCTGTACTCTTTTTGCAGCAGACATGACTATTCCACCCTTCTGCCTCCTCTTGCTGTGTTTACATGCACATCATAAAGGATAGAACGAGGAAAGGGAAACAAAAGAAGGCGCTACGAAGAGGATCCTAAACTTTAAACAGCTTCTTGCTGAGGAAAGGCATCCGAGAGTACATATGTTATCAAAATTAGATATGCAATTCAGTTCTATGTGATAAGCTATCAGAAAATGTATGATATTGATGGGGAAAATGCATTGATTTTGCTAGCTGAGAATGTTTCTAAGGATTATTACACATGTCAGTGTCTTAAAACATGTTGACAATGTGACGTTACTGTTATCACCTCATAAATTTAACACATGAGTCTACGATTTTATTTCTCATAAAACACGCAACTCAAGGCTACAAGAGAATTTTGAGAACACAGGGGATTCAATTCTAGTAAAGCGATTCACAAAATCTTGCAAGGGGAATCAACATGCAGCATTACTATTCTAGCGCTGCTCCCGCTAGATCTCCAATTTGCATTTATCTAGTATTAGAGGAACAGTATTGAATATCTAGCAAGAATTTTGATACATTAGAATTGTCAATAGACTTCTTTATATAAAATATTAGCTTAAAATAAAACTGTAAATGCTAAAGGCTTTAGGAAGAAAGCTAAAGGAAAAGAAATTATAAAATTACCAGCAACATTTCCTCCCCAAATGGCAGTCGGGTCGTATTCCATCAACTTCAGTCAAGATCAATTCAAAGATGAAATACAAATTACACCAATATAGTATGGTCCGCTTCATGAAAACCCTAAAGTTAGATAGGCCTCCTGAATATCACAAGCACTGAAATATGTTAAGACATTCACATATTTTAATGTTATTCAAAGCACGACTGTTAATGATTCATATTTGGCATAGTTTTTGTTCCAGAAAAAATAGTATCGCACATACGGTACTTATGATATCTTGTGACATTTTTGCATGATGCTGCATATGGTATTAGAAATTTATTAAATTGTCAAGAGATTTGTTACATCACAAAACATGACACAGATCAATTAGTGCTTCTATTTATGCAGTGAAGATGTCTGCAATTTCTTTCCTAACTATTGGAGAAAAATCGAGACCAGAAGACAATTCATTGTGTGACTAAAGGGTAGTTATTAAAAATTACCATTGTTGTTTATTTGCCATTATATCTATATATATTTAATTAATTTCTGGGTCGGATCACGTACAAGATTCTTCGCCTCAACCCATCGTCCTCTCAGCAGTACCTCGGCAGCAGAACCGGGCAGTCTCACCACGACATAGGAAGCTGATATATCACTTCACTATTATAGACATGCTGGGATATACTTTTTTAATCCGTTGCTAATCCTGTGACTTATTTATGTAAATGGTATTATATATATATAAAAAGACAAAATACTTAGTCGAAATCTAGCGAGATAGCAGTCTAGCGCGAGTAGCGGATCCCGGATGACAACACTGCCGCGGAGACACAAAGGATCCAATCCCACAGGATCGGCCGCGCCAATCGCCAGCCGTTGTCGTCGAGCGAAGGAAGGGTAAAGTATTCTTTGAATATTAGTTGATTTTGAAGTTCATGTCGTTTGATTTCATGTCGTAGTTAATACTGGAAATTAATGAGGTGCTGGGGAATACTTTTAGTTGTTCTCTGTGTCGGGTCTTTTGTGCAGTAAGGTTACAGAGGTAGAATATGGGGATGTGGGCTATGGATGTTCGGAGGATGTTTTGTTTACGAATGAATATGTATTGAAAGAAGAATAAGTTGACAATACGGTGTTTACATGGGGTTATACAGCGGTTGTATAGAGGTAGGGAATAGAGTCCCGGGAATGGGATGTTACCATGGGAAACCGCTAATTCAGACAATTACAGGATTCTATGCTGTGTTTGGAACTTGCTCAGCCAGACAACTTGTCAAGACCAACAGGATAACGAGGCCACCGAGCACTTCATTGCCAATAATGCAGCCAGCTCGGAAGTAGACATAGAGCGTCTACTTTACATGTCATGAAAGTTAAATCCAGATTAAAGTTTTAATCCAAATCACCATACTTGCACAGAAGCTGTAAGACACACTGCCAGACGCACAAGTTAATGCGATTAATTATTATATGTTGATAATGAGACGTTTGCTACAGAGAATAAATTGAACACATATATGGTAGTATTTTATCATTAAGATATGTATTTGTGCCACTACAAATAAAATATGTAAATGGCTTCAGAAACCCTTCAAACTTTATAGTCAGCTGAACTAAAGGTGTCAAACAAAAGGTACTCACAACATCAATATATATTCGAGGGAGAGTTTTCTCCGAGAGGACTGAGAGCTCTTTCTCGTGGGTGATCAGGGGGCACGGGGTACGGTAGTTCTTCAGGATGTTGCTGGTGAGGAATATGATAAGAAATTTCCATGTAGTTTTAAAGTCATTGTGATATAAAGATTGAGGAAATTTGTTATTATAAGATTTTTTTTTTTAGTCTATTGATATCTTAACATAAGTTGGGAGTGTTTTTTTAACCTGGATATAACATTGCCTTTCTGAATCTGTAAACTCCAGAATTCTCTGTGGAATCTTCTTTTCATTTTTCTTTTCATAGTTGAGAGTTATAACTGCATTTTGAGTATCCCACAACTTAGAAGAATATTTGTTGATAAATTTTCATATACATCTTTGACATGAAAATATCAGATTTTGTTTTATTATTGCCTATAATAAACATTGATAGCAACTCAACCACAATCTTTTCTATGAAGTTGATCACATCATTACGTATCGATACATGCTTGGTAGCTCATTCTGTGCATGTGTAAGATTTAATTTTGAGCTTAAAAGTTAATGCTGGTCCAGAGGTGCATCAAAAGTTTATCCCCGACACTGCCATTGCAAATGCACACTAATCTGGATTAAACTTTGATACTGGATAAACTCTTATGGCACCTACGTAAGATGCCCATAACTATTTTATCATATCAGTATCTTTATTTTACATGGTGCATAAGTTTTGTAACGTCTCCAATGCATAGATAACCCAGTCTGGAATCGAGGCCCTATATGGAAAATAATATATGTATATATATTATATACTTGTATATGTACATGTATATATATGTATATAAATATGTATATATATGTGAATATATATATATATATATAGTGTGTATATGTATATAGATGTGTATGTATATAGATGTGTATATGTAGATGTGTATATGTATATAGATGTGTATAGATATATATGTGTATATGTATATAGATATGTAATAGTATATATATGTGTTTTTAATGTATATGTATGTATATATATATTTATATATATATATGTGTATTTATTATATATGTATGTATATTAATATATAATGTAGTATTATTATATATATGTATGTATATTAA